TCCAATGGTGGGTAGCAACCCAGAGAAACAGCACTTTTGTAGTGAGTTCTGGCTTCGAGCCACAAGTTACTCCTTCCTAAAGAAGTAATTAATCTTCTTAGAAAGGAAAAATCGATAGGGATGTCCTTGGAAACCATGAATTGTGCCACTGAGGACGACATATCCAGATTGTTGCTCTCTATACAGCCATCTATGAGCTTGCTGAAAAGCAGGCCAGGCCGCGAGACCGCCACAGTTTCTGAAATGAGAAGAGCTGGCACCATCAGGCCAATCTTCGCCTCTCACACTTCTCTACACCTTTCCCCTCAATCCTTCTCACCCACCGCAGGCGGTACAGTCGCTAAAAGGCAATTGTCCTACATATAATCGAGTAAGAAACAGAAACGCATGTGACCAAAGCAGACGTGCTTGTTTCCTTTGTGATGGAGAATGTGGAAAGCAGTCTGACAAAGACTTCAGGGGCAATGCAGGCACTGTGAGCGTGGACCCCCCACGACACCGGGCCTACAGTGTTTAGAATGACTTCACCACTCTGTTTGCATAATGACAGCTCAGACCTTATATCTGTCTTTTCTGTGGCTAAAAAAATGCATCAACTCTCATAAATACCCTTTAATGGGTCTCCCCATTTGTTCAGTTCCTCTTAGAGGAAAGAAAGCTGCGACTGAGATGCCCAGCTCTTCACGCCTCTGTGCCACTGGGTCACGACCTGGGCTCTAGGTCTTCATCATGTCAGGAGCTACAGCGGCCTGCACAGGAACGACCCCTCCTAGTCTCAAGCTCTCACTGGAGGAGCCTGCCTAAAACACCAACTTGTTACCTCGTTCCATAGCATCCAGGCCCCAGGGGCCCCTTGACACAGAAGAATCAGCCTTTAATTTGCCATTTTTAGGGTCTTCAAAAATCTGGCCCAACTACAAACTGTTCAGTCTCCCTCTGACTACTGTATCAATAACAGCCATCCACTAAGGGCTACGTTAAAATACCACTGCAGGAGCTCCCCATCTAGGGGACACAGGCGACACCACCACAACACAGCAGCTCTGGGGAATAAATGGACAAATGAAGAGCTCCGGAGGATACAATGAAGCACTGTGAGGAGGCCTTAGCACAGGGACCGCGAAGCTCTGGGAGAGCGCAGTGACGATGACGACGCGCTCCCAGCAGCACAGGCCACAGGTTCACTGCCATGGGCCTAGAATCAATGCTTTTGTCTCTCTCTGCCCCCCATTCACTCTTGACCCAGAGCCTTTGCTCAGGACTCCCTTTGCCTGACCACCCAAGTTTTCACCTTGATGAGTTCAACGACTACTGCCTATGGTGGCATTCTGTTCTTAAACTACCTGTATTTATTCCAAGTTTATCTATGTCCCAAGATAATGTAAATTAACTTCTGTGTTTAGTGACAGAAGAAAAGCTATTCTTCATTATTCTGATGTTATGAATTCCTTAAGAAGCTAAGCTTTCTGGGGACACCTAAACACACTGTTTGCGGATGACATAAAGAAAGAGGAATGATGAGAATGTCCAGGTTAGGAACTGCTGACAAGCAACCTAGAGGTAAGCGCTGGAGATTGGTGAAACCATAAGAAGGCACATCTGATCTGCAGAGAAAACATTTTATAGAAAATGATTTCATCAAAATATGTTGGAATGCAAGACTCAACCAAAACAGACAGAAAACAGTTTCTTATTAATAGCTAAACACCAGGTGGACAACAGCTTGTTAGGCTAGATTTAAGAAAAACAAAAAAACAAAAAAACCAAACATACCTTGAGAATTTTGAATACCTGGTAGATTCTGCAAAACCTCAAATGCCTGTCCATAAAGGCTCTTGGCTAAGGATTCATGTGCAATTGCACAGAGCAGATTATGTCGCTGAAGCACGTCTAGTCTATCACAAGGCCAAGGTGGAGTATTGATTATCCACTCTGATTCTTCCAAAAAAGAGAAAAGGCTACCTTACACTCTGGAAATTACACTTAGTATACTAACAAGTGCTTAAAAATACCTTCTAGAGAACGTGGCAAAATTTAAATGTATGTACTCAAAAGAGTTCAAAGTTAGTAGAAACATACAGTGATGGTCCTCATCCTAAGAGGATAAAGATAGCCACTTGCTTGTACTTTTTATTAATTCTTCAGTCTTCTAAGTGTTGACAGTTATTAATCCTAAAATTAGTATTTTTTTTGTATTTAGTGCAGAGTCTGCAGGGTCTCATTACATAGATCGGACTTGTAGTGATCCTCATGTTCTCAGCCTCCCAAGTGTTGGGGTTACAGGTGTGCCACACGCCCAGTCTCAATCGCTGTCTTAGTGTGCCTGGAGGAGGGGCCAGCACGGCAGGCCAGAGTATTTTTATATAATAAAGATATTTAGATTATAAGGAGTACCTAATATAGACTATTACTTGTGTGGACAGGTTGAACAATTTTACAGTAACAAACACATAATTCAATGAATTCTCAGTACTACTGAGGGACAGCTTCTCCAGCTTATTTTTAAAACAATTTCTGCTAGAAAATGTTTGACAGGCACTAACATATGTAAGTTATAAAGTGATAAAGTGGCAGTAGCGCCAAGTTGCTACAATGTTAGGAACGTCCACGCTGTGTGTGGACCCTCTAGTCACCCGCTGCGCACGCACGGAGGCCTCCTGCACAGCGCCTGCTCCCATGCTGCTGTCCTTGCTCAGCTGTGCTCGGTGCAGAAGTAACACCCACCAGTGTGGTGAATATAAAGTACTGATGAAAGATTGGACAGTGCCAAGCAAGCTTTACAAACCATCAGGCACTCCTGTGCCCTGAGGAAGCCAAGGCTGGCCGGGCAAGTTCAAAGCCAGGCCAGGCAATTTAATGAGGCCCTATCTCAAAATAAAACTTTAAAAAAAGCTGTGGCGCTATAGCTCAGTAGCAGAGTGCTTGGCTTGCATGTATGAGGCCATGGGTTCAGACCCCAAAACTGCCAAAACAAAAAAAACACCAAAAGAACAAAAAACAGATCCCTCCCACCAAAGAAAACACAAAACAAGTCCTAGAGTAGCATTAGTAAACAAAAGGAAATATGCATTTAAAATATCTGACAGACATTTGCTAAACTGTCCTTAATAGCAATATTTCTGTGAACGTCTATTTCTTTATATCCTCACAAAAACTGTATCACCAAACTTTGATCTTTGATAGCCTGGGAGGTTCAAAATGGTGGTTTTTTGTTTGTTTGTTTGTTTGTTTGTTTTTGTCTCTTTGAGACAAGGTCTCAATATATAGTTCAGGCTGACCTTGAGCTCATTTTGTAGTCCATGTTGGTCTTGCACTCTCAATGATTTTCCTGTCTCAGCCTTCCTAGTGCTGGGACTACAGGTGTGCATCACCACACCTGGTCATTATTTTATAATTTTAATATACATTTTTCTTTTATGAATCAGGATTAACCTCACTCAATATATGTAAGATTGCCCCATTCCATTTTCTCTCTAATGACCAGCCGACTGGAAAACTCTTTTAAGACAACACACATTCTCAGGACTCCCACCACTTCCTTCTGTGGAGCCTTCTTTTGAAAAAAAACCTCCAAATTTTACTTATGAAAATTACTTTCTAAAGAAACAGTCACTGCAAGACATATATTTACAATGGACAGATTTTAAAACAATCTCGAATTGAAACACGAAAACTAAATCTCACCTCACTACACACGACTCCCACAAACTGCCCCCACTGTCTACCAGAGATGTAGCTCCAGAGTCCCACCACGAGATGTGCTCCAAGCCCATTTGCATCAGCGGCCTTCCCTTCCCATTTCTCGCCACATCTGTCCTGTCTCACACAGGGTGTGAGCTCTGGCTTACATTAATTTTTGTTTTTGTATCCTGGTTACTCTTCATACTTAGGAATCCTCCTGTCTATGCTGGCTATGTCCCTCAGTTGAAGAAAATCTTCTCCCCCAAGCTTCTGATCCTGTATCTACTCAACCCCTGTACTACATAAACCCTCAGTAGTGAACAAATACGAGGGATTATATATTGTATATCACACACACTCTCACACACACTTGTGTACGGGACATGGTTACTGGCTATCGTATACATTTATGTAAACTTCATCCTTTTCTCATCTAAACTGAGATGCCTAAATGTTCTTCTTTCTTACCATACATAATCAAATAAAACAGATAGTCCAAACAGCCAGAACTATCATCTTACCTGGAGTGTAAGGACAGAGCTGTGGTCTAATTCACATGTGTCACCAAAGTAACTGGAGTTTCTGCTGCTGTCTTAATGTCACTGTCATTTCCACTACCTGGATCACCTTACTAAGGAAGTGAGTCCTTTGGTGGGAAGCTGCCTCCTTCCCTATCCGTGAGGGCAGTTTATCCACGGTGCAGTCGGGATTTCAGCCAGCTGCTGAAGCCTAGGCTTGGAGCTTGTCTATCTGGGTTTGCATTTGACCTGCACTGCTTATTATGTCATTCCAGGGAAGCAGCTTACTATTGCTGACATTTAACTACAAAGTGGGGACTGTAATAGCTCCCATGCAGGCTTTCTACTGAGGTCAGCCAGGACAGCCCAGGCCAAACCTTTAGCGTGCTGCTTATGGGCTTCACAGCAGGAAACAAGGTGCACGTGCTTTCTTCTGCTCTTCTCACTAGCTCGTGTCCAGGGTGCATCACTGTGCCCCCGCTGTGGCGGCTGGCGCGTGTCCACTATACCTTTTCACACCCCCATCTGAGTCCCCCTCCCATCTGCCAGATCTGCCTATTTTTTCTATCATTTATTATGCTTGACTTCTTTACATGTTGGGTTTCTCACTTGATCTTAGCCAAAAGGCCAAGAAGTAATCTAAGATAAATCATGCCGTTTTTAAGCTTGTGTGTCTGAGTTATTTCACTTCACCCTATGGATTCAAGGTGTGTCCGTTTGTCTTCCTCTATGATGAGCAGCGCTCCGCTGTGCGCACATACCACACACTACCTGCTCGGCTGCTCCCAAGACCCTGTCACTATGATCTGTGCTGCTGTGAACATGGGTTACACCGAGCCCTGCAAACCATGACTTTATGTCTTTGGGAAAGACACACAAAAGGAGTCTACTTGCTAAAAGCTCATCTTGCCCTTTCAGCTCACACCCAAACCACCTTCTCTACACACACATTACTAGGATTCAATGAACCTAGGTCATTATGTAGACAAAAATTTATAACAGGTTTCACAGGTGACTTTATGCTTTCATGTACCAGAACTTACCTCTTAGGACCCAAATGGCACCATCAAGGCTTCCACTTTTGAGAAAAACTTCTGTAGCAATGTTCACAATTTGACATGTTGGTGCTGACTTTGCAGGCCCTGTGAGTCCTTTTAAACTTGTAAAATGTATTTTTAACTCATACAGCTTATCCAAGACCTTCCTTCCCTAGAGTAAAAACAACCAACACTAATTGGGTACTAGCCATCACAGTGCTGGAGACATGGCAGGCACGGCGGGCAGAAGGCAGCACTCTGGCTCAGTCACCACCCTACCCTGGTGCCCCAAGCTGCCCAGGCTGTCCCTGACAGGCCAGCCAACCCTGGGGATGGGCAGGAGCAAGCAGGGCTCCCCCAGCTCCACCGCAGCCTCTCGCAGCAGTGCTGCCCAGCAGCCTTGGCCTCTTCTCAACCCTTCCCCTGGCAGACAGCACTCTGACTAATGTGGGGAAGCACCGAGTCTATGCTTTCCCTCTATTGACAACCTGAGCTCTGGGAGGGAGAGATAGCACAAAGTCCACTTGCCACACATTTAGATAAAGAATGACAGTGAAGAAGGATAAAATTACGGGCTGAAATAGGTTTGATTCAAGAAACTATTTTATGGGGCTGGTGAGATGGCTCAGTGGTCTAAAGCACCTACTTACAACAAACTTAGCAAAGCACAGGGAATGCGGTTCAATCCCCCAGCACCACATGCCAGCCAGCCCCGCCCCCTGGTGGGCTGAGCTGGCCACACACACACACACACACACACACACACACACACACACACAAATAAATAAATAAATAAATAAAATTAAAAAAAAAAAAAAAAGAAACTATTTTATAAGTCCTCCATGAAGAGAACTCTTGCCTGGACATCAGAAAGCAGGTGTCCGTTTTGTGCCAGCTGTCGTACTTTCCTGTCAGCAGAGTCAGCACTTGACTTCACAGGCTTCCTCTGGGCTACCTGCCCAGACTTTTTGGTTGTTGTTACTGACTCTTTGCTTGCAGGTGTAATCCAGCAGACTGCAGTGCGGCATGGCCTGCAGGCGTGAGTTTGCAGACTCCCCTTTTATATCCGACACTAGTCTAGATTAGCTACTTATTACAATGTCAAAGTCTTTCACAATCTGATTATACAAATGCACTTGCATTTTTCACAAGATACTTTTAATTTCAAGTTTCCCTTTTATTCCTATGGGGCCTTCAGCATAGGAAGTGCTCTACCACTGAACTATACCCTCAGGCCACTGTTTTTTATGATGCTCAAAAAGGAATAGGCATCAAAAATCGTACTAAATCAGGTGATAAAAGATAATTAAAAAATTTAAGAGACAAAAATTCATCAATGTCCTAATGACTTAAGAAACAACAACCAAGCTGCTTGTCACCTGTTTGCTGCCTTCTGCCCGCCTTGCTTTGACATGGACTGCTTCTTCTGTGATGCCCCTCACCATGCTACCCTATCGTGGAGCCAGCCGATTATCACGGAAAACTCTATACACTGTAAGCCAAATAAATCTTTATTTCTTGCAAAACACACCAAGTTTCAAATGCTGTAGTCCTGGCTTCCGTACAGGCCCAGGAAGCAAATGCCTTGGCTTCCCTGAGGTTGGACGTGAGTTCTGGATGCAGACATTGCACCCCGCAGGCCCACCACAGAAAAGACGTGGTCTCCTGGGCCTTCTGTACCACTGGGCTGGGTTTAAAAGTATATTTTTATTCCTTAAATTTTATATTTATATAAATGATGCACTTAAATGTCATCAAGCACAGCTTCAATTACGAAATTACCTTTTACAATAGCCAGCAAGCAACAAAAACTACACTGCAACAGCTAATTCAGTGATCACTCTCTAGGTAGTCCACTCTTCTGGCACTGCCTCCCTAGTGTGGCTTTTCCTGCCCTCTACTGAGTTCTCTGCTCCACTGCAGGGAAACCTAAAGAACAGAAATACACCATGTTCTTGAGTCACGAGACTATTTCTACAGTGAGCTAAACCTTGTAAAGTGAGACATGAAGATATGTGGTATATACAGTATCCAAATACATTGTTTTTTGGTAGTAGGGTTCGAACTCAGGACCTTGCGCTTGCCAGGCAGCAGGCACTTATGCCACTGGGCCACCTCCCCAGCCCAGCCAAGCACCTTCTAAGAATTGCTTTTCTTTTTTTTTTTTTATTTTTTTTATTTTTATTTATTACATTTATTTATTGTGTGTGTGTATGGCCAGCTCAGCCCACCAGGGGGCGGGTCTGCTGGCATGTGGTGCTGGGGATCGAACTGCGGTCCCTGTGCTTTGCCAAGCTTGTTTCAAGTAGGTGCTTTAGACCACTGAGCCATCTCTCCAGCCCCAAGAATTGCTTTTCTAGGAGTTTCTTTTTGTTGGCGGAACTGGGGATTGAACTCAGACCCTTGTACTTGCCAGGGAAGCGCTTATTCCACTGAGCCATCTCTCCCACCCCTCTAGGAGTTTTGTTAATTGTGAATAACCTGAATCCATCTTAAGAAAGGTGTCCTGAACTTTTCCAAAATTACATTGCTTCCGACAGGAGTTGGCGGGCCGGGGAGATGGCTTAGTGGGATAAGCGCTTCTCTGGCAAGCGCAAGGGCCTGAGTTCAATCCCCGGTTCCACCAAAAAAAAAAAAAAAAAAAAAAAGCTATTACATTTCTAAGGGGCCTGGCCCTAGCTCAGTCCTTTCAGTGGCTGCTTCCACAAAGCTGTCAGCCTCACGTTCCTGGAGTTCGAACCTCACAACTTTCCCGCTGGCCAAAAGTGCCCTGAAGGCATTCGAGGAAGGAAAAAAAAAAAAAAAAAGAACTTATTCCGGCAGGAGTTGGCAAAGTTAAGTTATGAGCTGAAAATTGCTTCAAGTAGGTGTGCTTCCAGGCTGGCCTCCTCAGTATTCCCCACATGGAGACCCTGGATAACAAGGAGGCTCACTCCACCTCCTTCCATTTGCTCAGGACACAATTCTACAATTCCCTCTTCAGCCTGGCTCTCATTCTGCTGCTGCTGCTGATTATTAGCGAGCTCTTAATTTGCTGGGTTAACCTATGTTCTGTTCTCAAGTTGGTTTTTTTTCCCCCCCGGAACCGGGGATTGAACTCAGGCCCTTGTGCTTGCCAGGGAAGCACTTATTCCACTGAGCCATCTTCCGCCCCGTTCTCAAGTTTTAAAGTAACACCAAACCAAGGCAAAACTCAAACCAAAACTCAAACTGAAGTCACCCAGCCCACAAAACCTTAACGAAGTACCTTAGACCACTGCATCAGCTTGTGATAGAAGTACACAGCATTGATCCCAATTCTTCCTAGCAAAGTCTTATCTATATCACTATTCTTTGGATCTCTGATAACTGAAAAACAACAGGCAGATGGAAGAAAATGAAATGGAAGTCACAATGATAAAAAACACAAATTAACATGGGGTTATTAGAGTACAGTATTACCACAAGGACAGCAAATTACCAGCAAAGCCTGACCCCAGGGGGGTCAAACCGAGCCTGTGGCTTCTTTTTATACATCCCGTGAGCTAGCGATGGTTTTTATTTTTAAAAGGTCATTTTAGAAACAGAAAAATATGCGATAGAGACTGTGTATATGTATATATGCATATACAGTGGCAAAAACATTTACTAGCTGGCCTTTTACATGGTTTGTTGAATCCTTTTGGGAAAGATGGCAGTGTAAAGCTCACTTTAAGCAATCTCAGAACTATATAAGGGATGGCCAGATAGCTCAGCAGATTAAAGGGACGGAGGTTCGATCCCCCCAGACCCCCACCATGCCAGCCCTGCCCCTGGATTGAAACTGGACGTGGTGGCATACACCTGTAATCCCAGCGCTTGGGAGGTTGAAAAACAGGAGGATCACTAGAGTCCGATCTATGTAGTGAGACCCTATACTAAATACATTAAAGAAAAAACAAAACAAAACACCTAAACTCTCTGACTTAGAACCGTGAAGACAGCAGTGACTATAGTGGTTCAAGCATTCACATGCTCCAGTATATTATGCCAGCAATCACTTGACCAATCTCAATGAAAAGAATATGAAATACTTAACACTAAAACACCGACTCTTGCCCTTTTATCACTGCAGCCCAACTTAGTAAGCAGATGGCAATCATAAGCACAGCAGAAACATCTGAAACCCACAACATTAATGTAGCTTCAAATGGAAACTGTGCTGAGCTTTATGTTCCTGTTAAGAACACTGTGTCTTCCAAACACATAATACTTGGTTCAAAATAGTGATACTTCACCTGTCTCAGCAAATTCACAAAAAGGAACGCCTGGTCTTTCTTCTTTACTGCCTTTTGTGAGTGTTTCAGCAACACAAGCACAAAATCTTTGGAAATCTGCAAAGTTTTCACAGTCCATTTTTACATTAATGTATAAATTTCCCAATTTGATCCAGTCACCTTTTTCTTTACAATGCTATACAAATTGTTAAAAGAAAAACAGGAAAAAAAAGTAAAAAGGAGAACTGTTATTTATGCATATCTCTGGGTCAGGCACAGGACGCATCAAGTACAGTGAGAATAATAAAACAAACTTTGCGTATCTTACAAACTCACTGGGAGGTGTCATGTCAACAACAGCGTTGAACTTAGTCTCTGTGACTACGGCGATGTCGCTACACAGCCCAGACAGGAGCGCCTGAAAGTGCTTAGTGACATCCTCTCCCACCTGAACTCGACCAGACACAGCTCACGGAAGCAGGAGGACCAGCATCACAAGATGCACAGGCTCCACGGCAAGTGCTACTTTTAGAGACTTCATTTTACTGCTATCTGGCCATTTATGACCTGGGGCCTACGTCATATTGGACATTACCTTTCTACAGAAGAGGTTATAAAGCAAATTTCAATAAACTATACTTTTTGTTTTTTATTATAGCTGCAAAATAACTTTCCATGTCAGCTAAAAAAATGGGATAGAAAGATTAAAACTAAGGCTGGTCAAATAGCTCAGTGGATTAAACTGCCTGCAAGCAGGTGCTGGCCCTGCCCCTGGGGCGCACTGAGATAGCAATTGAGACTGGGCGTGGTGGCACATGCCTGTAATCCCAGCTCTTGGGAGGCTGTAAACAGGCAGATCACTACAAGTCTGATCTAGTAGTGAGACCCTGAACACCATGTAGACCGTTCCCTAAAATACAGAAAAAAAATTAACTGATTAAAAAGCTACTTATTTTCCTTGAGTATTTTCTTTAACAGCTACATTCCTCAGACCTTCCCTTAAGTGAGGTTATCATCCCAACATTTTGTCATTACTGATTTTCAGAGATCCTTGTTACTTATTCATAAGATAGACTGTCATACCTCTACTTCATTCAAGGCTGAATCTAAATTATGCTTCCAGTTCTTTGTGAACTTCCCCATCTGTAACCTTTAATGATAAAAAAGGAGTAATTATATTTAGGTTTGCTCTCAGAAAGGTCACTATTGCTCCTAATTGGTGCTACAGTTTATACTCAAGAGACCTGAGAAATTGAACACATAAAGCATGCCATAAAATTCTTTATAGGGCCGGGGATAGGTCAGCAGTGCAGCACCTGCCTGGCAAGCATGAGGTCCTGAGTTCGACTCCCTGTACTAAAACCCAAAGAAAATTAAACAGAAAAATTTCCTTAGAGCTGAAGAAAATATCAACTATACAGATGGCTTTTTCCTTCAAGCCACAGGCAAAAAATAAGAATGAAAAAGCAAATTCCACTTGAAACCATAGCTCTCGTATACGGAATGTATCAAAATGTCAAAGCCTCTCAGTGTGAATAAAAGCAAGCGAGATCCCTTCCAGGACGTGACCTCTCTGGCCTTGATCTTGCTCACTACTCCCCAAAGATCTGTGTCAGGACCAGGGAAAAACCAAACATGACAGCAAACAAGAGGGAGAACTGATGGGGAAAATACCAGAGGCGTCTTATCGTGACTTAAAAGTACTGATGTTAAGACTAAGCTCATGCCAAATGTGAAAGGCTGGAAAGGGGAGGGAGGCTGGGCAATCACTGAAATGCACAGCTTTAGGGAAAAACAAACGAAAAATGAAAGTAGCAGCTCTGGCAACTAGGAAGAGAAAAAGACAGGGCACACAGTGCTGTATAATACTCAAATGTGGGGCTGATCAGGGTGATCCATCCCAATGCTGAGCACAAGCAGGCACGGTGGCACACCCCCCTAATCTCAGCACTCTCTTAGCAGCTGAAGGAGGATCACAAGTTCCAGCCCAGCTTTCAGCAATTTACCAAGACCTCATCTCCAAAACAAAAGTAGTTTTGTAGTAGTTCAGTGCAAAGGCCTTTGATTTAATAGCCAGTACTGCTAAAAAATTATTCCAGAATGTTAAGAAAGGTCAACTGAACTCCTTTCATGAAGCAAGTGTAACAACTGACACCCAAACCAGATAAACAGGACAAAGGAAGAAAACTTCAAAGCATTCACAAACATCACTTGTGAATGATGATGGAACAAAAGAATAAAATACTAAAGGACAGAACCCAAGAACACCACATTAAGAAAATCAAACACCACAACCAGAGAGTATTTATTTTATTTTATTTATTTATTTATTTATTTATTTATTTTTTTTGAGGAACTGGGGATTGAACTCAGGCCCTTGTGTTTGCCAAGCAAGCACTTATTCTACTGAGCTATCTCCCTGGCCCCGAGAGTATTTATTTTAGTTTCAATTTACTTATCTAAATTCTGTATTAGAAAGCCTATCAACATCTTATATAATAGTAATAGGAAAACTTACAACTTTCTAAGTACTGAAAGTCTTGATAAAAATTTAACAATTAAAAAGTGGTGCCAGGGAGATGGCTCAGTAAAATAAGCGCTTGCCTGGCACACGCAAGGGCCTGAGTTCAATCTCCGGTTCTGCCAAAAAAAAACAAAAAACAAAAAACAAAAAACAAAACAAAAAACATCATTGGGGACTGGGGAGATGGCTCAGTGGAATAAGTGCTTCCCTGGCAAG